GTGACGTCACAGTTGCTGCTTCCATCTTTAATATACAGTCTGTAAGTAAGGACAGAAATGAAAGGCTCAAAGATGAGGTCATTTTGTAGTTCTATAATGACTTGTTGTTTCCTGCTTCATCAGTAAAGCTGGTACGAGAGCAGATCCATGTCGGTGCATTTAAAGCACACCGGATAATTGGGAGCTCGCTTCCATCCTTCACCTGTGCTGATGGCGACGTGTCGGCCGTATCACAGCTCATTAGAGCAGCAGCTCTGCAGGAATCTAATGGGCTCAAGAGGTTGTGGAGAGAGTCGCCTGTTTCCTGCGTCTGACACGCCGAACGATTCCAGCGGCAGCCGTCGAGAGGCCTGTCAGCTCAGTGCTCCGGCTCTCATTAGACCTCCGGGTTTATTTTTAGACTCCGATAAACCTGATTAGAAAGCGACGTGAAAAGCAGCGAAACTCTCAGCTAACAGCACAACGTCGCAGAAGCTCCGGCTCGTTTATGGAGAGCAAACTCAGGGTTATTGGAGTTTTATGGGTAAGATTTCAAGCGAGATCGCGTTCATCTCTCCACATAATGCTTGTTTTATGATTAAGATCCAGAAAATAATGAAAGAAAACGTGGAAAAGATGAGAGCTCTGAGTCGTCAGTATGATCTGTTTCATATAGTGATCATTTATTCAGTGTTTGAGACCTTTGCTTTAAGCGTGTTTGATCATTAATAATTAATCGTTGGTGGATCATCAGAAGGCTTCAGGAGGCAGATGATATTGAACATGATGATTCAACTTTTATAGCCAGGCTATAAGAACGGAGGCAGGCACCTGTGAGCCTGATCTGAGGGGAAAGTCCTTTGCAGCTCTCCCCTCGCTGCCTACAAGAACAGCATGCCCACTATTTGAATTATTTTTGATTTCATTGAAATTAAAACGTTTTTTTAAGCTCAGTAAATACGCCGGGGGTGACCTGCTTCCCTGTGTGGAGGAAGTGTTTCAGCCTCTTGTTCCCACCCTCGGCCACGAGCTGTGGGTGATGACTGAAAGAGTGAGATGGTGGCTACATCCTACAGAAATGAGCTTCCTCTGTCTGGGTTTTTCAGAGTAAAGCTGATGCTCCTTTGCTATGAAGAGAGCCAGTTGGGGGTTTGGGCATCTGACCAGGATGCCTCCTCAGGTGTTTCATGTCCTACTGGGAGGAGACGTCCAGGCAGACGCACTGGAGAGATTGTTTCTCTGGAAAAGCTGGAGGAGGTGCTGCTGCACCCGCAGCCTGACCCGGACTAGAAAAGCAGCAGATGATGGAGCGATGCATGAAGTTACGATTATTGAACAAAATCATTCTGATCGTTTCTTCTTCTGTGATCGACGAGCCCTGTAGGGAGGCTGAAGGCCTCCATCGGAGGTGGAGAACGAGTCACTCACGACACTTTAGTGACTTTATCTTTTTATTTTTAAATACTTAATAAGATAAATCACATTTTTACTAAAAGCTCCTTCAGATACGTGATCTCAAGCTTCAGTTTAAATGTGCTGCTGTTTTTCCTGGACTGGAGACTAGGGATGCAACGATGCCAATTTTTTCAAACCGATACGATACCGATACTTGGATCTGAGTACTTGCCGATACAGAGCACAAAAACCGATACTTCTACCACACACACACACACACACACAAATGCAATGAATTGGAAGACAG